CTCCTTTGCTTTGTCTTTTTCCTTTTTCTCTTTTCTTTCCTTGTCCTTATGTTTTCTTTTCTTGTGCCTGTGCTTATGTTTCTCCGTCTCTGCCTCCTCCACTTCTACCTTCGGTCCTTCCGGTCCTTCCTGGTCTTTCTTTTGCATGGCTGCGCAGCTGTTGATGCGCCCCGGGAGATGTATTTGTCTTGTTTGCTGATTTGTTTTGTCCTGCGCACGTTTCTTAGATTTGTTGTGATTTGTTATCTTTGCTGTTGCTTTCTGATTCTGTTTGGCATTTGGACTTTTTTAACAACTTTAGCTGCTTAGCAAGTTCGCTGTGTGACTGTCATGGATTGTCATGGTATGATCATCTGTCGCCATTCTCACGTTGCGTTTAGAGTATGTGTGTGTGTGTGACTCTATGGATAGATAAGACACATGACTAAAAAAAATAGGGTGCAACTCTTTGAATAGATAAGACACATCAGGACGAAAAAATGAGTCTTGTCCGTCTTAAGATGTTTCGAAACAGAGCCATGCAGCAGCCACGGATGCAGGTTCAATCCCAAGCCAAGTTCCACTGACAAACCCACAACCAACACTGCAGAACTGACTGGTTGCAACATTTGACAACTCAGGCTGCCATTGGGGAGGCCGACAATTTTCGAAGTCCGTCGTCGGTGGGAAGCCCAGCCTCAGCATCATCATCAGCATCATCACCAGCATCATCACCAACAAGATGATCATCATTGTCACCATCATCTCCATCATCATCATCATCCTCATCATCATCATCATCATCATCATCATCAGCATAAGTCTTCTTCTTTATCATCAGCATCAAACAAAATTTTCCTTGAAAGAGGTCCTCGGGGTGAATGGGGTCCTGGGTCCGCGCGCGCGCGCGCAAAAAGCTTCAATTTTGAGCCCTTGATGCGCGCGCGCGCGCGCGGACCCAGGACCCCTTTCACTCCGAGGACCCCTTTTAAAGGAAATTGTGTTATCATCATCAACATCATCATCATCATCATCATCAGCATCAAACGCAATACCGCGGATCTGAAGTTTGAGACACCGTCACGGCATCTTTTTCTACAGTTTTTTGGACGCCATCACGGCATCTGGTTTAAAGATGTTTAAAGTTTAGTTTGAGACACCGTCACGGCATCTTTTTCTACAGTTTTTTGGACGCCATCACGGCATCTGGTTTAAAGTTTTTAATGACACCATCACGGCGTCATCTGGTTTAAAGTTCAAACAGATTCAGACACCATCACGGCATCTCGCTCTATCTGAGGCAACCCACGCCCTCTGCTCGTCTCGACCTAAAGATGCCGCGACGGTGTCTCACCATGAGCACAAGATGCCGTGAAGGTGTCTCCTGCGTCTCATGAGCATGCCGTGATGGTGTGCAATGTGACGCCGTGAAGGTGTCTCATGGGTATCATGACGCCGTGATGGTGTCTTATGAGCATGCCGTGATGGTGTGCAATGTGATGCCGCGACGGTGTCACATGAGCATGCCGTGATGGCGCGCTAAGATGACGGCCGTGATGGCGTCTCACGTGAACTTGAACGCCAAGAACCGAAGAAGGTCATGGCCTCGGACACAACATGAATGAACAAGCACCGACTGAGTGCACAGTGTGATCATCATTGCACATGATCTGATAAGTCATCAAAAAAGATGCACAAATGATGCATGCACTGCACAGAGAGTGAAGGTGGCCATTTTCCTGCTGGTTTGGCACCCCAAAAAAAGACCCCTGCAACCCACAAAACACAGGCAAAAAAACCCTAGGAAAAATGCTATTGGGGAGTAGACTTGTGGGGGTCTTTTCTTGGGGTGGCAAACCAAGCAACAGGGTTAGCAACTGTTCAAAGGTCAAATTGTTACCAACTGAACTGCTCAAAGGGTGCCGAAACGATGCATTGAACGAGGAACATGCCTTGCACTGAATGAAGTCATCGGGGCAGCCGCCTTTTTGCCCAAAAGGCGGCTCTTGCAGGAAGAAATTTGTTGTTAGAATTGATGTAAAAATGTTGGCATTTTTTTTGCCCAAAAGGCGGCTCTTGCAGGAAGAAATTTGTTGTTAGAATTGATGTAAAAATGTTGGCATTTTTTCTGCGTGGGGGAGGCAATGTTGAATCTCTTCATAAATGCATCTTTGCAGAAACGGCTTAGCCATCAAGGCATCTTGCATGACTCTACTCTAAACAGTGCCACAGTGCAAGGCTTTTTTTGTGCCAGCCATGCCTTCGAAGTCTCAGCGCCGGCAACAATGCCCTGAGCCCGGGCAGGAGCTGCCAAGGAGAGGAGACAGAATTCTGCTACTTACCCGCGGGTGGTTGGACGAAATCCTTCTTCGTGGCAAGAGCTTGGAGGTCCGCGGTGCACCTTTGGCTTGTGGCTGGACGTGGTTGGGGTGCAAGGGCTTTGTGATTGCTCTGGCGAAGCTCAGTGACTCCTGTCGAGTCGCAAGCTTGGAAGAGTTCAAATCACTCAAAGAATTTCATCACGTTGATGCCGATGAACTGCCATACAAAAAAACATGGGTGACTTTGGTAAGTGATGTACAAGCCTTGGCGGACCCGATTAAATTCCAGACCAAATCGGGACCCATCACCTGGAACAAATTTGAGCCTGCAGTTGTGGCCAATGGGGCCGGGGCGAAAGTGAGCTTGCACAAAGTCAAGAAGACGGTGAGTAAGAAGATGACAGCCAATGTCCGAAGTGTTGTGGCTGAAGCAGCGGTGGCAGCATCTGTGCCCATCTCCGTCCTTGAGAACCCTTCGCTGTTCACAATTGGCTCAGCATGTTCTGGCTGGTGCAGCGAGCTGCACGCATGTTGTCGATTGGGGCTGCCGTTCATTCCAGTCTTCGGGTGTGACATTTCTCCTCACTGCAAGGCTCTGTGTGAGGAGACATGGGGCCACAGCTTGTGGTATGATGATTGCGAGGGAGATGCCTTTCTCAACAGTCCATATGTGGATGTATTTCTGGCTGGTTTCCCGTGCCAACCATTTTCCAAGGCCGGGCTCTGTGAAGGCGAGCAGGACAGGAAAGGGAGGGGCCAGATTTTTTGGTCATTGGCCTTGTGGATTCAAACGCATGTTCCACGTGTCTTCATTCTGGAGAACGTGAAGAACCTACTGGATTCGCACTATGAGTTTCTTTTGGCCGTGATGGAAACCCTTCAAAAGATCGAGTGGAACGGGCAAGCTGCTTATCATGTGTCCTGGACAGTCTTGAATGCCCGGGACTGCGGTACACCTCAGAACAGAGAGCGTGTGCTGATTTGTGGCATTCGTGCAGGCCCTGGGGCTCGCCCAATGATTTGGCCAAAGAAAGTCGCCATGGAGGACATCTATGCTTACATAGATCCTGCCACTGAAGGCGAGGCAGGGTTTCCTGGCAGGTTGCCATCCAGCGAATCTGAGAGGAGAAACTTGTTGCTTGTTTTGGATCAGCTGAAATCCCAAGGAAAGGATCCACTTCGAAGCCCCATTGTGGTCGACATCGGTGGGTCCAAGCCTCACTACAATGAAGGCTACTCGCCTTGCTTGACCCACTGTCGCGCTGGCAGTGGTGGGCATTGGCTGACCTGGAAGCAACGCAAAATGACAACCTGCGAGCTCTTGAAAATTATGGATGTGCCGCCAGCTGATGTGAAGTGGTCATCAGTGTCGCCACGGCAGCTAGGTCTGATGGCCGGAAATGCAATCCCAGTCAAGATGCTTTCCATGGTGTTGAGCCAAGCGCTGAAATGCGCCAATCTGCAGTGACTGCAATTGCCGGGGTCTCTAACTTGTTGATGCGGGGCAAAAAACAGGCAAGCTGCTCTGATTAGTCGTTTCAAGATCTTTCAAGGCAGTTTCAAGATGTTTCCAGCCAGTTTCAAAACTGCTCCCATCACTATGTAAAATATATGTGCGCTGCCAATTTCAAGATGGTTAATCACTGCCAATGCGTTTGAGCCAAGGTCCATGAAGGAAGCTGTTTCAACCCAATGCCAGGGACCTCAAAGGGGGTCAGGATGCCAAAGGGGTGAGGACAGAGTCAGGTGCCACGGATCATGTTGAGTCGAGATAACAAAAAAATGGGAAAGACGGAAAGATCTGTTTTATGTTTCCCCGTGACACTTATCCTTTACGGTATGTCAATGTGTCAGTCAGGGTGACGCAAAAAGCCAATTTGCTTGTACGGGCCCAAAAGTTCCAGGGATGTTCTGCCATGAATACAACAAGAGGACACAACAGACACATTGAACATATTAACAAACAAACAAAATCGAACAAATCTAAAACAGCAATCAAACCAATCAAACAGAGTGCAGCAGACTCAAGCCAAACAGAGAAGCCGTGTGAAGCCAGATCCCAACACTCAATTTTATTGCTTAATTGTGGTGTCTGTTGCGGGGGAACGCAATGGAAAAGCTGGATGTCAAAGCTCACCTCACCCATGTCCAGCTGTGTGAAGATAGCGGGTGCTTCAGATGCTCTTTTCTTGACCTTGCCGGAACTTGGATGAAAAAACTGCCTTGGCTGACTGAAAAAAAAATGGTGAATGGGGTCTTCTATGCAAGCTTTGTTCCCGCCATGTGCCACAGCTTGCCTTTGGGCTGACGGGTTTCAATGGGCCCGGAAATTTCTACACTGTGAGCCGGCATGCTGATTCCAAGCAGCACAAGCTTGCATTGAGTTTGGCTGGCCAAGCTGGCGGAGTTGATTCCAGGGCGCCGCCGAAGAAAGAGTTTGAAGAGTTTGCCACCAAAAGGCAAGCCGCTGGATCACTGAGATCTATGAAGGCAGTAGGTGGCCGTTGGAAGCTGGCCAGATTGCAGAACTGTTTGGGAGGCGCTTGCCAACGCATTGATGCGGCTTTCCTTCTTTCATCCACATGCATCGTGCTCCACCAAGATGTACGTAGGTTGGTTCTGATGGTACGTTTCCGGGCGTGCAATGACAAGCTGGAAGTCAAGCGTGGGTTGCTGGGAATACACCATCTTCAAGACAGCATGACAGAGTCGCTTGTTCAGGGCACAAGAGCCATCTTGTCACAATTTGTTGAAGGGGATGAAGATCAAATGGCCGCTTTGCAACAGAAGGTCATTCTACTGAACATGGATGCTGCAGCAGATGAGCAGCTGGCAGGTAGGCTCATGGCCTGCAATGACGGTCTGTTCCCAGGTGTGAAACAGGTGTGCCGGGACCGGGCGCATGCGGCTCGGCGAGTCATTTCCCGTCCATTCAAAGCGTCTGCTGAGATTTGGGATGTGTTTCAAGCCTTGATCTGGGGCAACGCTTCAATGCCTGCAACCATTCAGAGCAGTGATGTGCTGAGGAAAGTGTTCAACCAGTACGTCAAAGACATGGGCGGTGACCGGGTTCAGTCAATGTCGCTGTGCAAGCAGAGGTTTGACTCGCACCAGAAGGCAACTGGCCGTTTGATTCTGTGGCTGCGTCCGACCATCAAAACTGCAATCTATGCGACAGTTTACAGACGCAATGACCGAGATGGTGAAAGAGCTGCATTTTTCTTGCGCTCTCTCAGTGAAGAGCGGGTGTTGCTTTTGGCCATGGTGGCTGACTTCACTGATGAAGCGACAAGAATCATCCGACTCATGGATTCAGAAGCTGCAGATGTTGCCACGCACAACATCGAACTCGATGTATTTGCAAGTCGGGTGAAGCATCTTTTCATTGATGAGCATGCGACCAAGTCTGGGTATACCATGTTTGCGCTGGAGAGCTTGAAGACCCCAATCGTCACTCGGCAAAATTACATTTGTTGTTTTTTTTTGCTTACCTGTTTAGTGCCAAAAGAAATATGTTTTTAAACATGTGCCTGTGTGCCTTCTTCGGTTTCGCGTTGTGTTTCCCCCCGTTGTTGTTTCCTCTGCCCTGGCCTTCATATTTATTGATCTTAGTTTGTAAATAAATAGGAACAATAGATAAGTTAATAGATTAATTAATGAAATAATTTCTTCATGTATTATTTGTTTGAATGGGAGTCGAAACTGCAATGTTGGTTTTGATGCGACAATTTTTGCAGGCTTTCGATGTGGATGGCAAGTCGAAGACTCTGGGTGGTCCAACCAAAGTTTCTCCAGCCATGATCGCCCGGTGCTTTGCTTCTATGAAGAAACTGGTTGGGCTGAGCACAGAAGTGATTGCGTCGGAGTTTCCTGCATATGAGATTCTGACCGCCCTGAAAATCTTCGATGTATCCGAAGTAGCCCGGACAAACAGGGAGGAATCCGTGGACTACATACAGTCGTTGCACACTTCTTCGGAAAGATTGTGCCAACTGTTCGAGGCGTCGGCTGATTCCTTCATTGATGAGTACTGGGATCACAAAGCTATAGCTTTTCATCACCATTCGACCAATCCCAACTGCAGCAGCTTCGAATCTTGGAAATACGCAGTCCAGAAAACTAGCTCTCGCAAGTCAACAGCAGCTCGCCATCCATCTTCAAACTTGCACTGGATTCTCATTCACTTTGGTGCTCTAGATGGATGCACCACATCCGGAGTGGAGCAACACTTTTCGAAGATGGTGCGCACTGACTGAAGAAAACAAAAATTTGGAATTGAAATTTATGTTCGACTTCGCCCCGGCCACTTCCACTGACTGCATTGAGATGGCCCAGCAGCTGTGGATCGAATGGTATGGTGAACCCAGGAAAGGATCAACATCCAGAATTGATTTGGGGACCAAACGAGGGCACAAGAAGGGTTCTGAAGCTGATTTCTTGGCCAAAAGACGCCGTTTGGATGGACCGGTCAAACTTTTGCCCCATGATGAAGTACGGCTCGAAGCAAGTGCGAATCTGCCAGCAGATTGTCAGCGTGTCCAGGCAGAATTGACATTTCAGAGGAACAAGCAGTTCAAGAACACAATCCAATCGTACTTAAGTGGTCACTTGACAGCCAAGGAAGTGCCAGATGGGATGGTTGATGTGGCTCAAACATTCGTTGAATTGGAGACTCGGAGAGATGCCGCCAGAGTACGGGGAGTTTCAAAGTTCCAAGCCTTGTTGGCCCCGTCCCCGCCACAGTTCGATCGGCGGAACCACTGGATCTTTCTGGAGGTGGCAGAGTGGAGCCAGAAGCCTGAATTTTTCAGGTGCAAGGTGACCCAGGACCTCCAGCTGCCTTTGTTTTTCGTTGTGGCCAACCCGGAGAAACCGCCTTCACAAGTTCTTTGGGCAGCCTCTGTGCGAGGAGGTTGTGTTCTGGACCTGGCATGCATGCGGGGCATCATTGAAAACCGTGATGATAAGGCAACAACAGGAATTGCCTTCCTCTATGATGCGGCGTACGCAATCAAGCGGCAGATTTTCTTGTGCCCTAGCTTTCGTGCTGCGAACGCGGAAGCCAGTGAAATTATTCAAGCAGCAGTTGGCCAGGAGAGATCGAAGTGGAAGATGATTGATGGAGGTTGGGAAGCCTTCGCTGAAGCATCTGCTAAGAGCCAGCAAGCTGGCCGCAAGTGGGCTGTGCTGGGGCTGACCATTCCACGAATAGCTGCTAACATGCAGGAAGACAATGTCATGTCCAGCAAAACATTTCTCAAGTTTGTGAGCAGGGTTCATTGCTGCAATCGCGGCTTCTGATTTGCCTACCGGGGTAGCAGGGCAAAAGTGGCGTTGCTGCATGGCAAGCTTCCAAGTGTGGATCAGTCACTCGATCCTTTTCTCAGATGGAACTTAACCCTTGCCCCTTAGGTGCTGCTGGCACAGTACGGATGGCTGGGTCAGGGCCCAAGGATGGAATTGCTCAACGGGGTGCTGTAAAGTCAGATGCCGTGATGGTGTCTTCAACTAAGTTATATAGATGCCGTGATGGTGTCTTGAGTCTTGAACAAACTTAGATGCCGTGATGGTGTCTTCAACAAAGTTAGATGCCGTGATGGTGTCTTGAAACATGGAGGAACAAACACCCCTCTGCCTCAGGTCACCAAGATGGTGCCGGAGATGGAGACCCCTCCTCTTGGTGCCACCCAGCGTTGCTCTCTCAGATTTGATGCATCATGATGCATCAGTAGACAGCTCGATGTACAATAATGGGGTGCAATGATGATGACTTGAGAAAATATTCTTCATATTTATTTTGTTGATTTATATTTTATATGTGTGTATTTTCAAGAATAAAACCCTAAATGTCACAACATATGTCAGTTAATACCCTCTGAATGTCAGAATATATGTCAATTAATTTCTGAAACACAATTGTAAACATAATAGAAAACCATCGAAATATATTGGAAATACATCAAAAATTTTTCATATTTCATTTTTCTATTCCCGTTGTGTTTCCCCAACCTTGGAGATTTCATCCACTGTCATTTTCCGCTAACGCGCGCGCATACATACATACTTATTTATTTTACATGGAACCACTGACTGTACCTATTTATTTTGCGTTCAAACCATGCATGCATACATACATTTACACAATGATTTCTATCAGAAATCTACTTTTTAAAAAGTATTAAAATTTATAAAAGTGACATTTTTACGAAAGTGACATTTTCCCCGTTGTGGTTCTCCCGTTGTGTTTCCCCTTTGTGCTGTGTCACCTCGGCAGACCTCGGCCTGGTAGGCTCCCCGTTGGACCACCCCGTTGTTCAGGCCATCTGCCCGGAGCCAGCTCTGCACAATAAGGAGCAGGAAAAGAGGAGACACAACGGGAGAACCACAACGGGGAAAATGTCACTTTCGTAAAAATATCACTTTTATAAATTTAAAAAAAAGAAAAAGCTGCTTTTGTAACATATTGAAATGTTAAAAGCTGAATACTTGTTTTTCATTTTCTTGTTATTCCTTTTTCATTTTCTTTTCAAAATTTCATTATTTTTCATTTTCTTTTTATTATTTTTCATTATTCGTTCATTTTATTTTCATCATTTTCATGAAGTTCGCGATGGTTTTGTTCATCATGGTTGATGTTTTGAAGAAGTAATCATTATTATTATTAGATATGTTTGAACTGTGTTTTCCTCAGTTGTTTGAAGCAACATGTCTTTTTCTAGTTGATCAATGCTTTTCAATACGATCAACAGTTGTTGATATTTTTCAACTTTCCTTTCATTTTACATGTTTTGATCATCGTTAATTTTTCATCTTCATGAATCAGTGATTCTTTCCCGGTTGGCCTGAGGTTGACTCCTGGCTCCTTGTGAACGGTCGGGTGGCTCAATCGCGACTGGCTTGTCATTGTTGAGTTTCTGAATTATTTGCATAGTTTCTGAATTACCTGGCATGTCATGGCTCATGGCTTGGTCATGATTTTTTCTGGCCCTTCCGAAGCATTTTTTGCTTGAAATCACCCAAGCCCGACTGACTCCCTCGATATCCTCGATCCCCTTCGCATCGCATCGTGACAAGCGATGGCCGCTTCAGTGCAGACCGTAAATGCGAAGCATCTGCAAGCCTTTGAGGATTGCATGAACGTGTTGCTGTCCCACCCAATCTTCGACGCGGTGCAGTCAATGCCGCCGCAGGCGATTGACAGTGCAGCGGAGAAGAACGAAGCGGGGTCACAGGCGGGATTAGCGTGTGATCTTTCATGTCTATCCAGTTTAATTTGAGTTATTGCGTGTGATCTTTCATGATAACCCATCAGATAAGGGACATGCTCGGATCGTACGTGGATCGTGTGTGGATCGTGCGCGGATCGTGCACGGATCGTGCGCGTCCAGGGTTGTTGAGAACATAATACATATCTTACAGACCCTCCAATCTCATGATGTCCACAACCCTACTGTACGAGAAGGTAGGGTAAATTTACCTTCTTTCCTCAACATACCTGTACGTACAGGGTTGTTGAGGGAGTAGGGTAAGGTAAGGTCAAGACCATGCTGAGAACTTAGGGTAGAATTACCCAACCATGTCAGATATAGTGGCAGGATGTATTACCCTAACCCCTCAACAACCCTGTACGTACAGGTATGTTGAGGAAGGAGGGTAGGTTTACCGTAGTCTCTGGACATTCCCCCACAATTTGGACCTAGTTCATTTTTGTGCCCTGACAAAGCCAAGTTGTCAACAACCCTGGACGCGCACGATCCGTGCACGATCCGCGCACGATCCGCCATGGCCATATTTTTCCGGCGCATGTGAAGTGTGTGCGTTTTTTTTTGCATTTTATTATGTACTTTCACATGTTAATTTATTAGTAATAAATTAGTACGTGCTTGGAAAGTCTGGTGATGGTATTCCCGTCTTAAGATGTAGTCATTCAGAAGGATGCCATGATGATGTCCAAAACATCGCTTCGATGCCGTGATGGTGTCGGAAAAACCAATGGGATGCCGTGATGGTGTCCAAAACGCTTCGATGCCGTGATGGTGTCGGAAAAACCAATGGGATGCCGTGATGGTGTCGGAAAAACCAAGGGGATGCCGTGATGGTGTCCAAAACGCTTCGATGCTGTGATGGTGTCGGAAAAACCAATGGGATGCCGTGATGGTGTCGGAAAAACCAAGGGGATGCCGTGATGGTGTCCAAAACAACGCTTCGATGCTGTGATGGTGTCGGAAACACCAATGGGATGCCGTGATGGTGTCCAAAACAACGCTTCGATGCCGTGATGGTGTCCAAAAGAATGCAGTAACGCCAACTTATTCGACAATCAACTGGTTGTGCCCGCCTTTTGGCAGGCACCTTGGAATGACCAAGAGTATGATGCCGCGATGAAGTCAGCCAAGACCTATGTATCGCAGGGCAACCTTTTTTGGATGAATGTGAGGCAGTTGTGTTCGCCGACCGTTCCCATCAACACTGCCTCATTGAAGAAAATCCAGAAGGCTTTTTTTGAGAAAGGGCCGGAGAAGTTGACCTTGGAAATCGTGGTAGGCGTAACCTCAATGGTCACCTCTGAGCGCTTTGAGAGCATGAAAGGTGCCTTGCAACGGATTTCGCCGGAGGAAATCGACCACGCCTTGATCATGCACGTGGCTAAGAGGATCGAAGAAGGTGCCTCCCAGGAAGAGCTTCTGTGACTTGGCTATCTTCCTTTGTGCTTTGTGAATATCTGGCGCCGTGACGGTGCCTCTGAATTTTGAAGTGAAGTTGTTTGATTCTCATGATGCTGAATGGAAAAGTCCAGTTCATTCAACTCAATCTTTGATGAATCCTGACCACCATGCCAACTGAGGGCATGGCGAACAGTGTTCCTCTCAGTGAGCCTCCGCTGTGAGATGATTGAGACCAAAGAAGATGCCTTCTTCCGCTCTCTGACGTACCGACAGCGGTACATGTCCACGTACGAGAGTGCGGCGAGAAGCACCTTGCAAACCATCTTCGAGATCGCAGCGGTCAAAGCATCTTATGAGGAGACGCATACGGCCCAGCTGTCGAGATCTGATTTGGCTGATCTGTGGGTCCGAAAGAGCTGTGACCTGGCTGATGACGAAGACTGCCCAAAGACAGCTTTCGAGGTTGTCGACAGCGCCATGAAGGTCTTTGAAAGAATTCTTTCCGTGGACAAGCTCTTCGACGTGGTCTTTCGTTTGGAGCAGAAGTACGGAAAGCAAAGCTGCTTCCAGCACATGGCCGTACTTGAAGGGATTTGCATCAAGACCAAGAAGCGCGATGAGCTCCTGTGGATCTTGGAAAGCATGGAAGATCTCTTGATCCGTGGAGAATCCAACAACAAATGCTTCAGTAGCCGAACATTGAAAGGCGGCCGCACTGGAGGAGGGACCAGAGGGCTCCTGGATGAGTTCTTGGCCAAGGAGCATTTTTGAGTACGTGTTGGAAGAGTCACAGAAATGGGGATTGAAGCCCGCACATGCCAATGGCATCAAGAAGGTGATGATCTCTCACAGTGAAGTGCGAAAAATGTTGTTCGGAAGAGTTCAGATTCTTTTTCTATTGACGGGTGGTTGTATTTGATTTCCTTTGCACGTTGTTGATGTTTGATTTCTTTTAATCCCTTTTTATATTTCCTTTTTTTCCCATTTTCATCTCCCTTTGCATTGCGCAGGTTCGAGGATGGGGCTGACTTGACATGGCTGGGTCAGCTGACAGAAGCCGAACGCTTGATCATCAACATGCTCAAGAATGTCGTCTTTCGATCTGGGCATGACGGCCAGCTTCGCAACACCTTGAAGGGGTCAACCTTGCCTGCGGACATCCTATGCCATGACCCTTTCAAAACAATGTTGGAAACTATCCATGAAGAGATAGAGAAGGTGAAGGCGGCAGAGGAACAAGAAGCAAATGGGGATGAGTCAGATGAAGATTCTCCAGCCCAGAAGAATGTCATCGTGCATGATCTGTTGCCCCGAATGTCTTTGGAGCTGGACCATGAAGATGAGAAAGCGCAGCAGCTGATGGCTTTCGCCAAGCAGGCTGAGGAGATCGTAGATCAATTTGTCAAATTGGTGGTCGAGCAAGACTCAGTGCAGGCAATGGGCCAGATCATGGAAAACTGCGTGTCTCTCACCGGGGCCAAAAGGGCGATCTTTGTCTATGACTCCAAGGTTGCAGGAGAGGCGACGGCCCAGAGTCACATTCGACGGCCTCAGTTTCGCCGTGATCATTTTCAGAAGATTTGCTCCTCATTCGTCCGAGGCAGAGGTGGACCACAGCCACGAGAGGGCGACATGGTGATCTTTTTCGATGGTGGACGCCAACTTGCTCCTATGGTGCTCAGTGCGTGTGTGAAGATTACAAATGCCGAGGACCATGGGCAGCATTGGGAAAAGAAGCAGAGGCAGGAGATGATTATTCATTACTGCGAGCAGTCCATCCGAGCTCGCAGGTGCTTGGTGCGAGGCCTCATTCCGACCCATGAGGGAATTCACATCGTCACCTCTGGGCCCGTGTTGGTGCAGGACATCCCTCGCAAGATCTTCTCCGGCACGAGCTTGAGCACGGCAATTGGTCCTGTGAAGCTTCTTCCTTTTGATGAGGAGCAAGGCTTTTGGCTCATTAGCAAGGAAGAGAAGGATAAGATCTATGGACCTGCTGGAAAAGTCTTGTCCGGAGGAGCGCTGCCTGATTGCCCAGATCGTCCAGATTTGGGGGAAGATCATATTCCAGTGAACTACCATGTGATGCCACAGGCGGTGTTCGCAGAGTTGCTGCACTCCTTTCAAGCCAGCGTGATGGTGAATGCAACTGAGATCGATGGCAAGGGCGCTGAGGCGGCAATCTTGGCCAAGAAGTCGTACATTGGTGTTACCTTCACAGAGTATCATGCCCAGCAGCTGAGGAAGCTCCTTGTCCGCTTCGTTTGGGAGCAATTCAAGGACCAATCCTCTCCGCTCTACAATGTTGAAGTGTGCCTGGGACACAAGTGGAATAATAAATAGATAAATAAATAAAAATAAATAAATAAATAAATATATATATAATTTGTATATATATATATATGTATATTAATATATATATGTGTATAAATATATATGTATATATATATATATTATATGTATATATATATTATATGTATATATATATACATGTTATATATATATATATGTATACACATGCACATTTCAGAACACCTAGAAACTATTTTGAAGAAGCGGATAATTCAATCATTCCAAATACAGACCATGCGTGAATCGTTGTGATGTCATTTGAGGCAGACCCTCCTCAAAGCTCTTGGTGGCAATCCCAATGCGAGCACGCCCCTTCCTCTTGGTAGCAGTGGTGGCAGTGGTGGCAGTGGCAACACCGTTCAGCCAAGTGCAAGCGGAAGAGGAAAGGGCGGAAGAGGAAAGGGCAAGGGTGGTGGCAAGGGTGGTGGCAAGGCTGGCAGCAAGGCTGGTGGCAAGGCTGCTGGTGGGAAAGCTGGTGGTAAGGCTGCTGGCAAGTCAAAGAGCAAAAAGCGTGCAGCCGGAGAGGATGATGCATCTGATGGTTCCAAGAAGCAAAAGACATCAGAGGAAAGCTCCAAGAAGGAAGAGATCATGAACAAGCTGAAGATGCTGACCCGGCAAGGCATGATCGAGGACGACGATGATGACGATGATATGGCCGACGAGGCCGAAGAGTGAATCCGGTCGGCTGGAGAAGTAGCCTTATCATTGACAGTCGGCAGATGGCGCAAGTCAAAGAGAATGGAACTGTATTGGATTTCAAAAGACTTGAATGAAATGCATGCATGGATATCCGAGATTGCAGCTTTCAATTTTGTTTTTGATTACATCTTGGTTCGCATCGAATCGTGTCAAAAGACTTGTGGGTATGCCAACATCCCTGATTCTGGGATAAGCCGGCTGTAGAATCCTGAATCCCACGTTACGTGGCTCGAGGTATTTCGCTAACTTGGAAAAATGGTCAAGTTTTTGATTTTGGAACTACAGTAGGCAAATTTTGTGTTCAAGTAATTCTCAATTCAACCTTTTGATTTGAAACTACAGCGACGTGCCTCACATGGTTCTGGCTTTTTCCACATCTTTCATGGATACAAGGTGACAGTAATTTTGGGGGGTGGCCAACCGTGCCATTCCTGAATCCTTGAATTGCTTTCCCTGCTGTTGTAGTAGGGGTGCCTGCTGTCCCAGCGGGTTGATGTCTCTCAGGAGACTGATTAATTTCATTACTGAGCGTCGTCCAGAAAATCAACTGGCCTGAAAATTCAGGAGACGCATCAGAAAATCGATCATCGACTGAGCGCAGCGATGTGAGACATTGCCAGACCGAGAGAAAATGCAGACACCATCACGGCGTCTTTGACGTTCTAGGACACCATCTCGGCATCCATTTAGATCCATCATTGCATCTAGAAGGACACCATCTCGGCATCCTTTCAATTCTTCAACGCCCCAAGGCTGGGACCTCATCAACTTGGAAGTTCGGACCTAAGTCCAGCGCAGTGAGTTTGAGTCCATTTCTCCAACCATTGCCAGCACAGTGGCACATTAAAGCATCAACAAACATCTTGTACAAGAAGGGAAGTACAGTTGCAACATGTTGTAACCGCTTAAACGCATCACGTGGATGCCGAGATGGTGTCCTAGAAAGGCAAGTGACGCCGTGATGGTGTCTAACCACTTAATGTGACAGCGCTAATAACCACAAACACAATCCCAAATGAACTCTTTGCAGCTTCGAAACATTTGGAAACACATCAACCGCTTGTCCTTGTTCATTCCCACTTAGTTGGCTTTCTAGGACACCATCTCGGCATCCATTTGATCCATCATTGCATCTAGAAGGACACCATCTCGGCATCCATTCAATTCTTCAACGCTCCAAGGCTGGGACCTCATCAACTTGAAGTTTGGACCTGAGTCCAGCGCTGTGAGTTTCAGTCCATTTCTCCAACCATTGCCAGCACAGTGTCACATTAAAGCATCAACAAACATGACAATATGTTGTAACATGTTGTAACCGCTTCAGCACGTGGATGCCGAGATGGTGTCCTAGAAAGTGGCGCCGCGATGGTGTCTAACCATTTATGGACCAAATGGATGCCGAGATGGCGTCCTAGAAAGGCAATGTCCCTTTTCATGTCCAGCTTATTAGTGAGTTCAAGTGAAACGTTTGTGCCTTTGAATTCACGTGAAACGCTTTTCCATCTACTTTCTGGATTTTTTTCGCTTGTCATACTTCACGATAGTGGAGTAGACCTGAGCTGGGTCTAGGTCTACGTATCCTTGGTATACCCGGGCAGAGTCAATCTGTGCCCATGTCATCCCCACTTGTTGATGAATGCCAGCAGCAGCTAGTTCGCTGATTGCATGGCGTCTTCCACTGTGGGTCCGAATGTTTTTTCCATTGATCAGCTCGGGCATAATGTCGCCAAATTTGCGAAGAAAGGTAGCCCCATGTTTTTTCACATGGCGCGCCACAATATCTTTTGAAATGTTGCCTTTTGTTGAGCCGCGTTGTGAAGGGAAAATGTGCCCATGGGAAGGCCATGTCCATTCCTTAGCTCGCCACTCTTTTAACTCCTTCATAATCGATGGCACTAGTGGCTTCCATACGCCCCTGTGTCGCTTAAACGGTTTAAGCCAGACACGTTTTCCGCGCATGTCAAAGTCTTCGACCTTCAGCTGGCACACTTGTGTCACTCGACAACACAAGGCCTCGATCAGCACCATGATGTAAAAATACTTCCTTGGCGCATTCTGTCCAAAATATTTTAGCCAGCGAGACCAGCATTTGCCCGGCAGTGAATGCGCTTGGCCGAGGCGCTTTCCCATGGTTCTACTCTTCGACTGGACGCAAACATGTCAATCAGCTTGAGGCTCAGTGTCAACAGCACAACAGTGAAACGCAACAGAGAAACACATTGAGTAAACGTACCATTATATGAGAAGCCACATTCGGCCGTGCCGTGACATATCAAGCCTGCCATCCAAGCACTTTCGGTGCATCTCGGGACATACAGAGAAATCACCCGAAAAAAAACATTCAGTCACCTAGGTCACTTAGGTCACTTAGGTCATTTAGGTCACTTAGGTCACTTAGGTCACTTAGGTCACTTAGGTCACTTAGATCACTTAGGTCACTTAGGTCACTTAGGTCACTTAGACTACTTAGGTCACTTAGGTCACTCACTTGAGTCACTTATATAGGTCATTTAGGTCACTTGGTCACTGCCCTTGATTCCGGCCATGGCACTTATCCAGAGGATGCAGCTTCGCACTGAGATGCCCCCGGCACCTTCTCAGGAAGCACAGCAAATCATGGACAGGTGCTTTCAATTCAAGTACCTTCATGGCGGTACCAACCGCTATGATGAGTGGATCTTCTTGGAACCAGGGAGCAACAACATCTACTTCATGAGAAGAACCGCCAAGCCCCTCGGCAAATTATTAATGTGTCTTAGACTCCGTGATGGTGTCTCAACGATGCCGTGATGGTGTCGTTTGTGCACGCGGTCATGGTGTGCAATGTTGAAACTCTAATACGATGCTGTGATGGTGTGGCATGTGCACGCCGTGATGGTGTGCAATGTTCAATCTACGATGCCGTGATGGTGTCGTATGTGCACGCGGTTATGGTGTGCAATGTTGAAACTCTAATACGATGCCGTGATGGCGTCGCATGTGTGATGATGTGCAATGTTCAACCTACGATGCCGTGATGGTGTCGTATGTGCACGCGGTCATGGTGTGCAATGTTGAAACTCTAATACGATGATGGTGTCGTCGTATGTGCACCCGGCCAAGGACCAAAAGGGTAGCTTTCGATGGCTGCGGTCACTGGCGTAAATCCACGGGCTACATAAGCCTTGATGGCTTCGCATGCTGCAGGGGCATTAGGCTCCACGATTTGCAGTTTCGGCGAGTACATCCCAGTGTTTCTTGATCCTGCATTTTTTATTCCCCAAAGATCCCATAAAAGGTCCCAAAATCATATCCTGTACTTTTTTCCCCCTTTTTGGACGTCCGACCAATCTTGTTTAAGGTCTGGCGTTGTACGGACGAGGGCCAAGTGCGCTGGATGGTGATTTGCCGTGGGCCGCTGGGAGCTTCGGAGCCACCAGCACCGATTCTGGCGCTTACCAATGGATGATCAAGATGATCTTGGATGTGAGGGCCTGTGTGAGGGCACCCACAGCAGGGGTCCTTCGGAATCGGCCATCAGGGCCTTGTGCTTGGATGTGCACACTTGGGGTTACATGTGAGATGTCCTAAAATAAGGTTGCAAGTACCCCCGCAAAAGCTACGGTGAGCTAAGTATTGGAATCTGCGCATCCAAGCTGGAATCGGCGCACAGTACGCCTTAGGTGTCAAACTTTTGGCCAACGCAAGAAGCTTTTAATGGTCAATGCAAGGCGACTTTGGGTAAATGCTTTTGGCAAACACAAGGCCGCAGTTACCCTCACAAAAACCGCCTTTTGGGCAAACTTTGGGTAAATGCTTTTGGCAAACACAAAGCCGCAGTTACCCTCACAAAAGCCGCCTAATGGGCAAAAAGGCGGCTGCCCCGATGACTTCATTCAGTGCAAGGCATGTTCCTCGTTCAATGCATCGTTTCGGCACCCTTTGAGCAGTTCAGTTGGTAACAATTTGACCTTTGAACAGTTGATAACCCTGTTGCTTGGTTTGCCACCCCAAGAAAAGACCCCCACAAGTCTACTCCCCAATAGCATTTTTCCTAGGGTTTTTTTGCCTGTGTTTTGTGGGTTGCAGGGGTCTTTTTTTGGGGTGCCAAACCAGCAGGAAAATGGCCACCTTCACTCTCTGTGCAGTGCATGCATCATTTGTGCATCTTTTTTGATGACTTATCAGATCATGTGCAATGATGATCACACTGTGCACTCAGTCGGTGCTTGTTCATTCATGTTGTGTCCGAGGCCATGACCTTCTTCGGTTCTTGGCGTTCAAGTTCACGTGAGACGCCATCACGGCCGTCATCTTAGCGCGCCATCACGGCATGCTCATGTGACACCGTCGCGGCATCACATTGCACACCATCACGGCATGCTCATAAGACACCATCACGGCGTCATGATACCCATGAGACACCTTCACGGCGTCACATTGCACACCATCACGGCATGCTCATGAGACGCAGGAGACACCTTCACGGCATCTTGTGCTCATGGTGAGACACCGTCGCGGCATCTTTAGGTCGAGACGAGCAGAGGGCGTGGGTTGCCTCAGATAGAGCGAGACGCCGTGATGGTGTCTGAATCTGTTTGAACTTTAAACCAGATGACGCCGTGATGGTGTCATTAAAAACTTTAAACCAGATGCCGTGATGGCGTCCAAAAAACTGTAGAAAAAGATGCCGTGACGGTGTCTCAAACTAAACTTTAAACATCTTTAAACCAGATGCCGTGATGGCGTCCAAAAAACTGTAGAAAAAGATGCCGTGACGGTGTCTCAAACTTCAGATCCGCGGTATTGAGTTTGATGCTGATGATGATGATGATGATGTTGATGATGATAACACAATTTCCTTTAAAAGGGGTCCTCGGAGTGAAAGGAGTCCTGGGTCCGCGCGCGCGCGCGCGCATCAAGGGCTCAAAATTGAAGCTTTTTGCGCGCGCGCGCGCGGACCCAGGACCCCATTCACCCCGAGGACCTCTTTCAAG